AAAAAAAAAAAAAAAATTGAGAATGACTTCACTCAAAACGACATAACCTGAGGTATACCTGTATAAGATTCTAATGATTACAATTACTATAAATTTATGTTATAATAAATATAGAATCATTTCATATAAAATAATTTATAGAGCAGCCTGTTCTGGAAAAACCCACAAAAAAGAAATCATTCATTTAACATGTTGAGTAATTCTCTTCATAATTCTGCTATACTAAAAGTTCCAAATTCTTTAAATAATAAAACAACTGGGATTTTCTAAAATTACACAAATAAAAGTTTAAATAATATATTTATAAAAATCATACATGAAAAAATAAATAAATAATGAAGTAAAAACATTAATAGTGTTTCAGTTTTATAATAAATTTAAATGCAAAATAATAATTATTTCCAATTATGGGATATTCCAAAAATCAGATATCGCTAACAAATTAATGCCCTTTAATGGCAGTGGATAGTAAATTGATTAGAAGTAAATACGAATACATGCATAGATAATAGAGAAGCACAAAACTTTTTGAGCAACCTATAAAAATTGAACGTGGCTATTTATACATACTGTATGTATACACAATTGGCTATTTATACATACTGACTGTATGTTCCTATATTCCAGCCAGATACTAACTCTATGCACTAATATTACAATTAATATTTTGATAATAACTACACAATTATAAATAATTAGTTTTATTTATTAAAGTTCAGTTACAATGTTGTTCAATAAAGTAATCAATAAACTATGAAGTATCATTAAATCAGTGAAATATAGGCANGTTAGATGATGTATTCTGATAAACTTTAATATTTTATTTCAAATGAAAAAGAAGGAAATTTCTAAACATTTTAATATTTAAAATGTTTAGAAAATTAATTATGTCCCTTAATATAATCCCAGTTTTCGTCTTTCTGGTTATGCAGGAAAGAATTTGATGAAATCTATCATGATAATTATGAAAGACATTGCATTGTATCAATGTTTCCATTTATTTAGAATTCAGTACGTCTGTATTTTTTTAATACTGTAATAAATTTTCATAAATTAAATAATGTAGCTTACAATCTTTTTTATATATATTTTTAGATATCCATTTGCTCTTGTTTTATTGCAAAGCACTGCCAGTAAGCATTCGTTAACTATGAGACGACGAGTGCGAACTCCCAGACTAGAGTTTGTTCGATATGATCCGCACGGTAAGTGAACATGTTAAATTTATATTTAATTAGTGTGTCGTCATATTATTTTAAAATTAATTTTTTAATACATTTTACAATACTAATAAAAAATTTATGTTTTTATCTATTGAATTGATCTGAAAATCTGTACTCATAATTTGTTGTAATCTCAAAATTCAATTTTGACTGACTTTCAACATCATGTATTGTGACCGATATATACATGTATGCAATAACTTCATTCATTATTATGATACTTAAGGTTATCTTAAGTCAAATTCTATAATTTACCTTAAAAGTGTGTCAGTCTACCAGTGTGGCCACAGTGGATTAAATTACTGAACACTGGTAGTTGGTTTGCTACATGGAGTTTTCCAGATTTTCTTCATGTTAGTAACACCTAAATAGGGACCAGTTTCTCATAAAAGTCCTCCCCCTTGACAGATTGTCCATATATTACGTTGCCATAATCAAATGAAATCAAAAACCTTAAAAGCTTGACTTTATAGACTTAAATGATTAATGGCAAGTTAACATGTTAAAACTACTCGACTGTGAATCATTGGATTGCATCTTAATGACATGGTTTCAGTTAAATTTTACAAAAATCTGGAAAAAGTAATTAATCTTACTGCAAATATATCTTTAATCAGTGATACACTATATATAATATACAGGTAACCCCCGTATAACACGGCACTTCTATAGCACGGATTCGCTCTAACACGGTTCGAGAATTGGTACCATCCCTCGTATAACACGGTACTTTTATAGCACGGATTCGCTCTAACACGGTTCGAGAATTGGTACCATCCCCGTATAACACGGTACTTTTATAGCACGGATTCACTCTGACACGGTTCGAGAATTGGGTAAAACCCACGTACAACATGAAATGTAATAAATTTTTACATACTTAAATAATAATAGTTCACGAAAATTATTATTTTCGTGAACTATTAGTACTTAAGTATGTAAATTTTCTCTTCTCGCCTTCTGTCGATACACGTGGTCCT